TATCTCATGTTTTTTTTTTTCAACACATATAATCATAATGAACAAGAATCTCAAACAAACAAAAAAAGAAAAAAAGAAAAAGAAAAAGAAAAAGAAAGAAAGTCAAAATAGACTTAGACCCTGTTTGAGCCCCATTTTTATCTCATTAAAATGAAAAATATGATCGTTATCCATCACATCAAGCTATCATTTTTGAATTTCTATCTCTTGTGTGGGGCTCATAACGACTATATTTTTCATTCTCATTCTACAAATAATGTGGCTCAAACGGGCTCTTAATTTTTAACTTTTAAGAAAGTCAAAATAAACTTAATTTTTAACTTTTCTGGACCGCATCAAGTGTGATAATGAGATTACAAAAGGTAAAATCAAACATTCTCCAAAAACAAGTGAAATAAAAAGCAAGTAAAAAATTTTATTTTTGGAAAAGTTTTCATTAGTAGTAATTTAAAACCCGGTAACTGCATCTATAAACAAGAAAAACCTATCTTTCTCCATCTCTTGCATGATTATTAGTTGAACAACAAACCCTTAGGGTTCTTTTGAAAAAAGCAACTCGCCGCCGGGTTGATCTCGTATATATCACACTCATAAGCTCCTCTCTCGTTACTCCCCTTTATAAAACCTCAAACCCCACGCAACTACTCGGTTCTACTTCTTATCTTTTTTAATCAGAACACACCCCTTTGCTATTTTCTTGAAATTCAATGTGAATGAAGAAGGCCCTTTCGCCAAGAAATAAATTTTCGTTGTCTATAGTCCGTCTAATTTATACTGAAAGGAAGTAAAATTTTACGGTTTAATCATGGCGTTTTGTTGGTTTTATCATAACAAAATGGAATTTCTTAAAGCTTGATTGTCAAAGAATGGGTTTTTATGTGCTCATAGCTTCGATTTTCAGGCTGTACATTTGGATTTGGTGGGTTTTTAGCATTTAGATTAAAGGTATTTTTGAGAATTTTCTAACGCTTTTAGGGTTTTTGAGTTTCGCTGGGATTAGTTTAAAATTTTCTTCGTGGAAGGAGGATTTCGCTAGTTATCATAACAAAATGGAATTTCTTAAAGCTTGATTGTCAAAGAATGGGTTTTTATGTGCTCATAGCTTCGATTTTCAGGCTGTACATTTGGATTTGGTGGGTTTTTAGCATTTAGATTAAAGGTATTTTTGAGAATTTTCTAACGCTTTTAGGGTTTTTGAGTTTCGCTGGGATTAGTTTAAAATTTTCTTCGTGGAAGGAGGATTTCGCTATTGTGGAAGATATGTTATCTGAATTTGATAGGAGGCTAATGTTAAACAATGAAAATTCCTTTGGAGATGAGCTGGAGAAGGAGACTGGCTTCTTGCTTCATAAGCAGCGGCACCAAGTTTCCGATGAACGTGAAAAGGAGCTGAATATGTATAGAAGTGGATCAGCTCCCCCTACTGTCGAGGGTTCCTTGAAGGCAATCGGTGGGTTGTATAAACACGATGATGTTCGCGTTGGCAGCAGTGGTGGAATTGCCTTCCCTGAATTTGCTAGGAATAAGAGCGGTAATGGGTTCATGACAGAAGAGGAACTGAGGTCCGATCCGGCATATTCATCTTACTATTACTCAAATACCAATATGAACCCAAGGCTGCCGCCACCTCTATTATCAAAGGAGGATTGGCGGTCTGCTCAGAGGTTACAAGGAGGGGGTTCTGCAATTGGGGATAGAAGGAAGGTTAATAGGAGTGATAGTAACAGCAGTAGTGGCGGCAGAATGCAGTTTACAATGCCACCGGGGTTCAATTCTAAGAAGTCAGAGAGTGAGAATGAGATGGATAAAGCTAAGGGTACTGTGGAATGGGGTGGTGATGGGCTGATTGGTTTGCCTGGATTAGGACTAGGTCGCAAACAGAAGAGCCTGGCTGAAATATTTCTGGTGAATACTTGCATAAGTTTCTGTCTATCATATAGGTTTTGTTAAACCATTTACTTGGAGTTTTTCTATCTCTTCTGAGGCTGAAACATTTGTTGATTCTCGAAATTATTTACCTTTTCTATATTACAGTTCCTGATTATCTAATTCTTTTACAGGGTCATGTGTTGATCTTTGGCATTGTTTGCCATTTTTTTATATGAATATTGAAGTCCATGCACCTATTGAGAAATTATCTGTTTCATGCATGTACTCGAAGATTATTGTCAAATTTGATGTTACCTTTTTCTGTTCATGCACTTATGGTTAAGCATGGCAATATTACTCGTCTATCAGTTTCTAGTTTTTGCCCATGGATTAGATAATTTGTTGCGAGTGAACTTCATGGATTGTGTTTCATGCATTGACCCAATTTCTCAAATATTTCCTTTGGTTATGAATTTATGCTTTACTTTATAATTTTGATATAGATTTTCATTGTAGTATATGTGCTGTTAAATTTAGATGATTCCCCTGCCGAGTGGGTTCTTAGGTATGCCGCACTGTTTGCCACGCAAGTCACAGTTGTAGGGTAGTAAAGGTGTCTGTTCTTTGTTGCTACGTAAAGCTCTGGATCTTGCAATGTTTTACTTTGCTATTAACTTATATCTTATCTATGTGCTTAAGCATGATTATTCTATTGACATACCCAGTCATATCTGACTGGAAGACACTTTGAACTCATTTCCTCTGTCAGTTTCTGAGAAACTCTATTTTTCTTTGTGAATCTGATCATTTGTATCCTCCCAGTTGGGTTCTGGTTCGTAGTTTATCTGTTTCTTCTGTTGAAAACAGTCTTGGTATGTTAATGTTTTTTCTCTAAAGAAATTTGTTAGATTTCAATACGCTCATCTTATTTTCTCCCACTTTCAATTTCTAAGTGACAGGAACATTTACATTAATCTTAAGTTCGGTAATGCTTGTTGACAAGATGAATATTGGTTGAACATGAAATTATCAAAAAATCGTGTCTATTGGGGATCTATCATACTGGGAATTATTTCAACCTTCATTTCACACTGAAAGGTGAAACTTTTAAATTTAACCATTAGTCTTTTTGATAGCTCATTGCACGTCAATTACTTAAAATGCCTGGCTTCTAGTTGTGTCCTCCACCCTTTTGCACTTTCTGCTATCATGCTTCTATGAGAGCGATAAATTACTTATGGTTCTTTTCAAAATTTCAACTTGTGTGACCACGAGTTCATTGTAATATCTATCTAGGAGTTCAGTTAATTGGCTGAAGCGAGTATCTGTAGTTAAAAAGCTGTCCTTCTTACCATTTGTGAATTATAGTTCTTAGTTTGCCTTCTTCCTATATCAAAGAGATACATACATAATGGGTTTTCTGTTTTTAAGTTTACTTGTTAATTATTTCAATGAAAAGTTATCCATTTTTATGCATTAGTAAATACACTAAAGAATATTGTGGTGCTGTTTCTTGATAATATGTGTCGTATTATTACCCTTGGGTACTTCTTTGTGATTTATTTCCAACCCCATCAACGCAAATCTAAGCTTAAACGTTGAAACTATGATCTTCCTTTGTTTAAGTTGTTGAGACAGTTTGATGTAATCTACCTAAGACTTGCATGCAATACATTGTAGGATCTTTTTTGGAAATCAGTCAATGATTCAGCAGTTATTTCTTCTGGCCTCTTATATATCTGGAAAGAAATTCAGGGGGTCTTTTATATGCTTTTTATTTTTAATAATCATATTTTTTTGTGATCTAAATTATCTCTACAGTAGACTTCTAGTTTTTTTCTTTCCTTTTTTTTTGTTTTTTTTTTTTGGTGATCTAAATTAGTAGACTCCTAGTAAGTATAAAAGAGATAAAATAGTACCCATTACCTTATTTCTTAGATTTAATGTAATTTTATGTACAATGTTTTGCTTTTCCTTCCGATCATGTCATAATCTTGGAAAGTCTCAATTTTGGTATTTTGTTTTAACCTCCCTCTTTCCCCTTTGCAAAGATGAATGCATCCTTTCTTCCATTGCATTCTTCGTGTATCTCAGTTCTTGATATCTGTGCAGGATGACTTGAACGGTGCAACTCCTGTATCTAGACACCCTTCACGCCCCGCAAGCCGTAATTCATTTGATGAGAATGCTGATACCATAGCTTCAGCAGAATCTGAGCTGGCTCACATCCATCGAGATTTGACTGATTCAGACCCATTGCACTGTACTTCGAATATTCAGAGCTCGTCTGCTGTTCAACATGTTGGACAACCTACTTCATATTCTTATGCTGCTGCTTTGGGTGATCCCTTGTCTAGAAGCTCCACTCCTGATCCACAGCACATTGCAAGGGCTCCTAGCCCTTGCCTTACCCCTATTGGAGGAGGTAGGGTAGGCAATTTAGAGAAGAGAAGCATTAATGGTCCCAATTCGTTTAATGTCATGTCTTCCCAAACAAATGGGTCTGTAGACCTGGTAGCTGCTTTTTCAGACATGAATCTTTCAACTGGTGTGCTAGATGAGGACAATCATTTGTCTCCTCAGATCGAACAAGATTTTGATGACCACAAAAATTACCCCTTTGGTCTTCAGGGTGGGCAGAATAACACGAAGCAGCTTTCATTTACGAAGAAATCCAAAACTGGGCAGTTCAATGTGGCTTCTGTACCTCATTCAACGAAAATGATGCCTTCTGAACCTGGTTTGAGCGATGATGGTGAGTTGGATATCAGCAACTCCTCCCTCCGAGCTGAGCTATACAGAGCTGGTGTTTCTTCTAATAATTTGTACCTGAAAGGGTCTTCTTCTTCAGCTGTTAATGGCGGGGGCAGCCTAACCTCTCAATATCAGCATTTGGATAGTCCAAATTTCTCGTATTCAAGTTATGGTTTAAGTGGCTATCCCATGAGTCCAGTAGCAAGCCAACTTGGCAACTCTAATCTGCCTCCTCTATTTGAGAATGCTGCTGCTGCATCTGTTATGGCTGCACCTGGGATGGACTCAAGGATGCTGGGGGGATCAAATCTAGGCATTGCTGCCTCTGAAGAGAACATCATCCGAATGGGAAATCAGATGGCTGGTAGTATGCTTCAGGCACCTTTTATTGATACATTGTATCCTCAATACTTGAGGACAGCTGAGTATGCTGCAGCTCTTAGCAATCCTTCTGCAGATAGAAGCTATATGGGTAATTCATACATGGACTTGCTTCAGAAAGCTTGTCTTGGCACCACATTATCACCACAGAAATCACAATGTGGTGTTCCAGTGGTTGGAAAGACCATTGGTTCTAGTCCTCGTGGTTACTATGGCAATCCTGCGTTTGGCATTGGGTTGTCGTATCCTGGAAGTCCCCCTGTTATTCCAAATTCTCCTGTAGGACCTGTTAGTCCTATGCGGCATGGAGATTTCAACATGAGATTCCCTGGTGGGGTGAGCAATGTAGCTGGGGGTATGATGGCATCCTGGCACTTCGACAACTTGGAGAATAGATTTGCTTCCTCTTTGCTGGAGGAGTTTAAGAGCAACAAAGCCAAATGTTTTGAACTTTCTGAGATTTGCGGTCATGTTGTCGAATTTAGGTACATAATTCTCAAGAATGGTTTTTTCACTTACGATTACTGAAACCTTATATTTTGTGACCTTTACATCTGTTATCAGTGCTGATCAGTATGGAAGCCGGTTCATACAGCAAAAACTTGAAACGGCCACAGCAGAGGAGAAGGACATGGTTTTCCGGGAAATTTTTCCTCAGGCTCTTACTCTGATGACTGATGTGTTTGGTAATTATGTAATCCAGAAGGTACCAACATTTCTTCCCTTTATTGGTTGTTATTCACAATCTTCTACATTTATACGCACGAATAAGCCCTTAGCTTTCAGACTCCATTCTTTTATTTTATTTTTATTTTTTTAATGGTACTAATTTTATTTCTTTCCAGTTTTTTGAACATGGAATGGCCGCCCAGAGGAGAGAATTATGTAGCAAGCTTTTTGGGCATGTACTTACACATAGCCTTCAAATGTATGGTTGTAGGGTGATACAGAAGGTAACATCAGATCTGTATCATACACATCTTCTTTTTTGCTGTACTAGATCATGTTATTTCTCCGAGGGAGCTAATTCATATTCTTGTAGATCCTTTTGCTATTTTAATCTTATACTATATTTTAATAAACTACGATAATTAACTGAAGTTGTGATCTTTTAAATATCTAATTAATAAACTCTTTGAAAACTTAGGCTGTTGAAGTTGTTGATGTGGATCAGAAGATCAAAATGGTGGAAGAGCTGGATGGACATGTCATGCGTTGTGTGCGTGATCAAAATGGTAACCATGTCATCCAGAAATGCATCGAATGTATTCCAGAGGAGCATATCCAGTTTATTGTCTTGACATTTATTGACCAAGTTGTGACTCTATCTACTCATCCATATGGGTGTCGTGTGATACAGGTTACATGACCTCCTAACAAATTCTTGCTTTTTTACATTTTTGACTTTGATCTTTTTTATTTGATAATAATGTTTTACGTCCCACAGAGAGTATTGGAGCACTGTCAGGATGCCAGAACCCAGTGTAAAGTGATGGAAGAGATTCTAGGGTCCGTAAGCATGTTGGCACAGGATCAGTATGGCAATTATGTCATTCAGGTTTGCGAAGTATTTTGAAGTTATTTAGTTTATCTTCAGTCCTCTCACATATTTCTTAGCATCTTGGATTTGTGCATGCTATTGTGGAGTTTTGTAAAATATTTGAAGTTGAATATGCTGTATCAGAAGTTCTGTAAAGTTTAAAGTTGTATAGATTTTTCATGCTCGTTCCATTTGCAACATAGAGTTTGCTCACGTCCATTTCAGTGCTTTATTCTTATTTTTTTGGTTTATTGCACGAACTCTCGTGCTTGTTCCGTGAAGAAAGCAGTTATCCTTAAGTTGTTTATAATCATTTTTCTTCTCTTATAATATTTATCAGAACTGGCATGCTCAACATTTTCTTAGTCTTCGTCTTGCCGTTATCTGCTAAAAGGTCATCACAAAATTGTGGCACTCGTCCCCACCCTCGTACCCTCCCCCTGTAAAAAATGAAGGTTGGTTAAACAGAAGAATATACATAGGTTATGATTCAAATGAAGAATAAGTAAATAATCAATACTGTTGCATTGCTTCAAGTAACATTTACTCCAAGATTGTTTATGGAGTTAATTCCAAGAAATGGTGTCGGCAGCACTTCTGGCAATGCAATTGCCTAGTTTCTGATGGTATTATTGTTAACCTTAGTTTTACTAATGTGTTAAATGTCTTCTGTGCTGAACTGAATATATGCGCCTTCTTTTTTGTGAATTAAATTGTTGAATCTTCAACCAGCTAAGGGCTCGTTTGCTTTGTGTTTCAATTTACAGTTTTGAGCTCATTTTCAGTTTTTTTCTTTTGATGGTCTGTTTTAAGATTGCTAAAAACGTATTTGGTGTGTCATTTTGAAAAACTATTTCTCAAAACAGAAAATTAGAGAGCATGTTTGCTTTTGAATTTTGGGAAATTATTTTATGACATTTTGTTCCATAAAATTTGATTATTCTCTAAAATATAACAATTTAATGTTAATAAGTTATCAAGCAATATATACATTTTAAAGTTGGTGAGTCTTACAATATTCTTTTCATGCTACAAAAGTAAAATAAAGGCAAATAGTAAATTGAGGCATGATATAGGAAATAAAAAGTAAAAAGTAATGACATGGACTGAGAATTTTTTTCTGTTCATTTAAATATATTTTTTTAGAATTTTTGTGGATAGAATCATTAAGAGTTTGAAATATATATATATATATATATATATATACACATATAATTTGAATTTATTTAAATGCTTCTTTCTTATGTTTTGAGTGTTTTCAGCATTTTCACTAAAGAAGTTATAAGTTTAACATTGTTTTCGAAAACGAATTTTCAAAAATACCAGACTAAACAAGTTTTGGGTGTTTTGCAACACTGAATATAGCTTTAAAACAACAAACCGAACATACCCTAATTGATCTATCATGGTTTGACATTAGAGGTTAATATGAAATAAGATAGGATCTCATTCAGTCCAGGTAAAACTTTCAATAAGTATTGTTTTTTTTCTTGTTATATAGCATGTGCTGGAGCATGGAAAGCCACACGAGAGAACTACTATAATCCAGGAATTGGCTGGGAAGATAGTTCAAATGAGCCAGCAAAAGTTTGCTTCAAATGTTGTCGAGAAGTGTTTAACTTTTGGTGATCCCCATGAGCGCCAGCTCCTGGTGAATGAGATGCTTGGATCAACTGATGAAAATGAGCCTCTTCAGGTTTGATATTTGGCTATTTTAATTAAAATTGTTTCATATAAAAATATAGTTCCTCATGAAGGTAGAAACTTAACCCCTGATCTTGGCGAATGAGTTACAGCAATAAATAAGACTCTTAATGGCCTACTTTTTTTTCTGGTTGGAAGCTCTCTGACATTCTATATTGGTAATACTAAACTGCTACTGCATATAGTGATCTCTTTATTTCAGGACATCCTGGTATGTTGTGGCTTTGAATTTCCGCATTTGCTTCTGAGTTAGCTAGGTGTGTAATAATAGGTTGGCACATCTTTCAACTTCCGTTGATTTTTTTCCCCGCAGTTTCGATTAGTGTTGTCCCAATCATTTTCTAAATATTGTGGGACTCGGCTTTCAACTTCCATCATTTCATCTTTTTTTTTTCTCAATTTTGAAGCCTTCATCTAGTGCCTTGAAGCTTGTCTTGATTGCCATTTGTCAAAAGTTACGTATCAACTTTTTAAGCCACACACCTTACAGCATAAGACTTAGAGCCTGTTTGGGAGTGATTTTGAGAATTGATTTTTTGACCGTTAGGAGAAAAGTGGGGTCTACCTGTGAGAGAAGAAATCAAATATGACGACTGGAATAGTGAAATAACGGTCAAAAAATCAATTTTTAGGTGAAAAAATCGGGCCCAAACAGTCCCTTAAGGTGGTTGAGGAATGCGTTCATTTGCCTTGGCCTAGTTTTATGTGCTGGTATTTATTATTATTTTGGTAGATTAGAATGCTTTTAAGGGTTTCTTGAGCTATATTAAAGACGACTTAACCATAAAAATTAGTAAGAAAGTTGGAGAAGAGGGACGAGGAGAGCAAGTGAAAAGAACATGCCCCAGCCTCCTGAAACTGAAATGTGATAAATCTTTTATCCTAAGTGAAGTCGCAAAATTTCAGTGGCAGACGACTCATGATGAGACCCATGGAAGAAAATAAGGGAATCAAGTATATTGATGGTTATCTGGAATAATTTAGGCTTTTTGTAGTTTTATTCATGGTTTATCAATTTTATTATGTTGTTACGTGATTACTTAATTTATGATTCATTAATTGATATTATATTGACCTATTTTTTTGTTTACAAGTTTGATTCCTAATTTTGTTAACTTTTTTAATGATATATAATTTTGTACCTGGAATTGTTTAATTGGTTCTCATTGAGGCTTACACCTCAGTTTACAATTAAGCCTTTCTTAAGAGTAATGTTATTTATCATTATGATGATAAATCGTCGGTGATGTGACAACCAATTATCCCTCACATTTCTCTCTCTTGAGACAACGTTTCCTTTCTCTCTTATAAAAATTGAACTACTCAATCTCATTATTCCCCGTACGCCTCCACATCACCGATGATTTATTTTCATAATGATAAATAGCATTATTCCTTTCTTAAACATTGGTCCCATTGATTTATGGTTTTCTATACTAGTGATGAGGAAAGTATCACAACGCCACCTGTGAAGTAAGAGCACTCAAGCATTATTGCTTGGAATTAGAAGGACAACAAAAATATATTCAATCATAGAATTATGGGATGATCTGAGGGTCACTATGTATTTTTCATCTTTTCGCCGCCATAGGGTTTATCAAATTATTAAATTTATTGAAGACCTATAATTTTTATCTGTGCAATCCCACTTACATTTTCAAAAATTATATGCATCAGGCTATGATGAAAGATCAATTTGCGAATTACGTTGTACAGAAAGTACTTGAAACTTGTAGTGATCAAGAGCGTGAACTCATACTGTCTAGAATAAAAGTTCATTTGAATGCGTTGAAGAAATACACTTATGGGAAGCACATCGTAGCTCGTGTGGAGAAACTTGTTGCTGCTGGGGGTATGATATTCTTACCTTTACTTTATACACGTGCGTCCATTTTGATTATCTTTCAAGATTATGAGAAGAAAGCCAGTGTCATATAAGCTATTTTTTTTATTACCTTGTGTTGTTATTAGAATTCCCGAACCCCCCCCCCCCCCCCCCCCCC